TTCGCGACTGTTCCACTATAGAATGATTTACGGATGCTAAACTATTTATGGTAAAAATTTACAGTCATTTTATTATACATTATCCCGAGCAATATTCAAATATACAAAGTGCCCGGTGACTTTTTTCCACTGAGTGTACATATATTATTGCTTTCTAATTGAGGTAAGTGTAATTTATGAGGCACAGTAAGTGCAGTACAATATTTGTATCCGTTATTAGTATTGAATTGTTGTATTTTGTTATTATTAGTTAGTTTTTTGTTTTAAAATTAAAACTTTTATGTACGAAGACTCTGGTAATTAATAAGCATGTTGCAGAATAATTGTTACGTTATAAAATATGGCGACTAATAAGCGGGCATGAGAAAAATTGGGTTGAATAACACATGTAAGTTCTTTGTGACTAATAAGACAAGTAGCAAGTATTCGTTTATCGATACGTTGACATAATTGGCAATTAATTGCATAATCGATCATCTAAAACTAATTCGTAGCAAAATTTATGTCACTTATACCAATATTACAACCAAAATAACATGAAATTATTTGGCAAATATTATTAATCCAGTCGTAAAATTCAAGCATAAACGATAGACATCGATTTCCAAATTACAAATTTCGAAATATCATATATCTGTACATTTGGAGTCGAGTTTGTCTGACTCAGACACTGACACCGAACAGGCAAAACCAAATTCAACGACACCGAGAAAACGCAAAAAAGGATGCCTCAATATGTATAAATTATGCTAACATATTATGAACGGCATTTTAAACTCATTACTACTGTAAATGCTAGTAAGACATCAAAATAATGTTCGTATAAGAGTTTATAAATACTATTATAGCCTCTTTTTAAGGTAGTGCTGGAAAACCAAAATAATTGCAATAAACTATTTTAAATGGTTTGATAATTAATAACATACTCTTTTATTACCAGGACTATAATTTTATTCTTTGTCCCCATACATTAATTTTACCTCAGCTGTGCATATTTGAACTCCATCAAAATCGAATATGACAAAAAAAAGTTAGGTTGAACAACTTAATTACATAAAAAAAGTTTGAATTATAATAATTATATTACATGACGTACACGCGTTGTAGTGCCTCTTTTTTTTGTAACAACTGTCGTTTATTTTGGTAAAAAGATACTTTCCCAAGAGCAAAATGCAATATACATGTACGACACTCAAAAACCATCCAAATTGCGCGAACTCTTGATTACGCGATTGTACATTGAACGATTTAATCTCGTATCTACTTTAACATTAACAATATGCAATAAAAATACACCTATCGAATTAAATGAACAAGTAAAATCAAATTTTTATAATTGGAACGAAGTGGCTAGTATTAAAAACCAGTTTCAATACACAGTTGTCACAATTTCGTGTCCATGTAATAGTAGTATCATAAAATAATAAAATAAAATTTCAACAAAATTCTATGTATCAGTCTATCACATTTTCCTCCCGAATGTAAGGATGTGTGATGAATATTTACTCACATTTCATCTTTTGCTTTAATGTAGTGATTGAGTTTCTTTTCTTTCAATTTTATATATCCGTCATAGAGGTGTCCAATAATATTAGAAGTCAAGATGATAGAGCTCATTATTAATGACAAGAGTGGAATAATATCATATGAGACTGTTCGATGTCTATACAGAATCTATGAAATGACAGCAATTTAATTGTCAATATCTAAACTCGTATCATTTGATTAAACCAGTGTCTTTTTCACACATACCTGAATGACCAATTGGGGAATATCTTCAATAAACAAATTTAATGTGCTACCCCAGAAAATGTAATTCAGTGCTGTCTTTGACAAAGGTGCAGAGAACATCTGCCAACCAGCAAATTTAGATCCGAGAAATGTGATAGCTTCAACGTCAGCACCTGCTAGCAGAGTAAGTATCGAAGCTATTCTTACATTCTGGCTGAACCATTCTTGAAATTTAGTATTTTTACTTAATTCTGTCATTAAGATTGAAAATGCCAAAGTAGAATTGAAGACAATAGGAACTATCAAAAAGGCTATACTGAAATAGAACAAATTCGTAAATATCGGATATAATTTGATTATGGATGCAATAAATTGTAAAGTATCATAGAGAGTAATACCTTGGCGTATGTAATTGTGGGACGTTCCTTGCACTTGAGAGTACAAACGCTATATCAAGACTCAGGTCTGCAAGTATTAGTACAAGCTTTACAGCAGCAAAATTTTGACCCTTATGAAAACAGTTTCATGTATTAATAGTCATCACAACATGTGTATTAACGTCGAATGCATGCAGGACAGCTCACCTCTGGATACTTCTGTCTCGCGAAGAGGTATATTATTGATAATATCAAGAGACCAGCAAACAATCCAATTAATTTAAATCTGTAAGTTGCCCACAAATTGGCTAGTCAAGTTTCATAAAGTTGTATTAGTTTCATTATAACAACTCATGCAATAAAAAGTATGGCTTAAATCATGTGATTGCTTACCGACAGGTGAAAACCCATAAGTTTCGTCGAGATACTTAGTAAAATTCTCCTGCGAAAAGGAATTATAAGCTTTATACTTAATTAAATCATCAAGATCATCCATAATCTGCTGTACTGTTTTCTGCGACTGATCCTCGGTTGGTTTGAGAGTGATTTGAAACGTTATCTGATTTTGTGCATTAGGGTCAGGTTGATTTCGTCTGCTGGTGGTTATACGTGATGGGTCAATGGGGATGAGCTCAGCAAGCTTTGTAACCATGGAGTCTAAGAACGAGTTCTTATCATTAGTAGATAATTGTTCAAAGTAAGTTGTTCCTTCAGGTGTCAACCTTAAAAGACCTGTCGTGGTCTCTATTTACGTTCGTTAGAGAAAACACAACTATATTAGCCAGGTACATAAACATTATAAACAAAGATGATATGCCGTACCTGTATATTCTCCTTTAGCTTCAGCTGAGTCTAGTAAACGCACAATTATATTATGGTAAGCAAACGAATATCCAACATTAAGAGTATGTTAAGTGTTTTGTTAATGCATACCTCCATAGTACACCCACTTTCCCTTCGCCACCCCGGGAAGTGGTTGTTTCAAACTTTTACTCATTACAAAATTGTTATCCACAACGACATCATATGTAGCATCAGGCGTGTTGAAAGTACTTTTGAATATTTTGCACGTTACAGCCGAATCATTTAATGTAACAGAACAGAAACTAGATTTTGCATTGAAACCCTGCCTGAGGATAGGGTTCCCGTCCGTCGCTTGGTAAACTGAAATATTTTGTGTCGAAAGCGCAACCTGATCCCTGAATATCAGTGTAATATCCGTAGTACTTGAAGACACATAAGTGCCCGATTGCGGACTCGATGACTTTACAAGAAGATTGTTGAATCCAGCATCTAAATTAAGAATTATGGCGATTATTAAAGCGTAGGAAATAAATGAACAATGCAAGTGGTCACTAATTCTATATGTTACTGTGAATTATAAAATTACTCACCTTCTGGCAATTGTTTGGGAAGTGGTGTATTGTATACGATTAACTGTGACGAGTTTACAGCTCCCATCCACAGAGTGTTATTCGGAAATATGGCAAAATCGTCAATATATTGATCGAACAAAAAGGTCTTTACAATTGTCCCATTATGAGCTGCGACAGTTATATTATATGTTATAGTATAATCCTCCTGATCTTGTATTAATTGTATAACAAGAAATCCACCATAAGGCAGACGCCGTATTCCATACATATTTTTTTCAGCGTTGTTTTCTGCACCAGTCAATATCACGTTGACATCAGTTACCGAACCACTAGATAGGAATTCCACTTTTACGTAATCCGTATTAGTTTTCTCGTATACAGACTGAAAACTAGTATATTCTATAATACAAAAGTATCCTGTTCCATCAGCAGCCACTTCACACTCATCTAAATTATAGAAATTATAGGTTGATGGGTTGGAGCTCTGCCAAACTAAATGAGGCGTGTCGAATTGTCTAGTATCAGGTTGCCAGAAATTAACATACAAAAACCATAGCGGAGAAGAATGGTATAATGTAATATCTTCGACTTGGTGCATTATGTTTTCTAAAACTGCTATGCCATAACCGCCTTCAGTGGTAGGAAAGATTGAGAAACCCGTCAGTAAATTGCCATTATGTCCCGTGATACTGCCAAAGTACAATTGTGTTATTTGATGCATGCTATTATTGCTAGTTTAAAAATAGGAGAAAATAATAAATAAAGGGTAATGTCAATGCTTTATTATTACCAAAATGTTCATACTCACGGCGCACTAAAAATTTTCCACTGGATAAATTTACCAGGGTCCATTGCCGTTACAAGAAAATCCTTATCTGGATCGATGTTGGTTTTTACGAGTGTTTTGTAGTCATTGGAATCAGTGGCGTTGAGAGGACCATCGGCAAGCATCACATAACTATCCATGAATACAAAATACGTTAATTCAACAGATTTTTCATTATTTATAAGCTTTCAGAAAACATTTTATTTCCTGACTTTACAATGCTCTTACTCTAGATAACCTCACCGTTGCAATACCTGGCCACTCCAATCGACCAACATTCCATGCAGAACTATATCGTCTTTTAGATGCGTTACTAACACATATCCGTCATTGAGCGGGTAAGCACGCGGTAGGACGTTATGGACATCGTATGTTGGTACAGTAAATTTGTTCAATGTACCATTTGGATATAGCAGACGAATATACAAATTATTTTCGACGAGTGGAGGTGTTTGACTACGAAACAATTGCATCAATCCTGTGCCATTTGGATACGTAAAGCCATTAATTTTACCAAAAATGGGAATACCCGCACCGAATAGAAGATTATCGGTGTCTTCGTAAAATGAATAATTATTAAAAGCCCGAACGCTTGCGAAAAAGCAGAAAATAAGTAAGAGATAGCAGAGCTTTCTAATCATTGTAATATATGCAAGAGTGGGATAGAATTGATGACAAAACCGAACTTTAGAATAGAACTCAGACGAAAAACGATGCTTTTATTAATTTACTGATTGTCCCTACTACGTAATTCTCTTTGAGTTTGGGTGACAATTCTGCAGATGCAATACGTTCTGCATCATCAATCAGGAAACAGTATGGAGCGAAACAAAAAACCGCCTTATGTTTCTTCTTTTCCAAATTTGGTTTGGGCATAAAATTTGTCCGACTTTGTACACAAAGAGCGCATAAAAAGATGACACATACGTATGTATTCAAATATGTCAGCGGCTGAAAATATAAAGTACTGTAACTCCGCCTGCTAATAATACGGCCTTGTTGAAGCAGTAGCAGAGATATTATTTATGGACATTACGATATTAATTCGCTTTAGAAACTTAATCGCAAAATGTTAACGTGTTTATTCGTTTCTCTGTTTCTGTTTAAAACCAAAAAAAAAAAAAGAAAAAAAAAAACCGTTGTTTTGGTTTTCGGACTTGACATTATTTGTTTACATAAAATGTATTGTGTTGGCATTATGCATAGGGGTTATTGCAACTTTAATTTGAAATGGATAGGACGTTCATGTATCGTTATGCTTCATCTAGTATACTTGTCGTTAAAATCTGTAACACTGTCTTGTTTGTATACCTAACTTTAAAGGCATCTTCTAACCATTTTTAGTGTAGCATTGTTGGACAAATTAATTTGTCGTAACAGCAACAAATATTGTTAGCACATCTAATGGCAATTAAAGACGATCTTTTTGTTTTATTAATAGAAATTTATAATTTGACGAATGCAATAACGTATTACGTTGTACGGGAGGTGCAACGTAACATGATCGTATTAATAAAATTTTTGATGAGTTTTATAATTTTTTTGTTGAAGACCTCAGCACAAGAAGTTGTATGTTATATTGTGATATTTTTAACACGTTGTGTTGCTAATAAACTACAAGGCAATATTGGCGAAACCCGCAAATTTGCAAGTGGTAATTAATCAAATTCAATTTCAAATCCCTAGTCCGTTATACATTAGATCATCAATCGTAGTATTTTATTGAGATTATAGGTATAATTTATTCTGCATTCAATGTTCGACTAAAATTAAATTCGTTGTATTTGGTGCACAATTGGTGTGTTTAGCATAATTAATTTTAGATTGCTATAACTTATCAAATAGTAAACAGGTCTTGTAATGTTTTATTCAAAAATACGCAGCTTACGTTGAATAAACCGAATATACTGGATATCAGGAATTGTGCTGGCAAAACTCCAAGAGAGTGGAAACAGTGCGCTTGTAGTATCTTAAAGAGAACAATTTGTATTTTTTGAGAGTAAAAGTATTTAGCGCAAAAAATGGATACGATTTTTTCAAGTGGTATACCATACGATAGAAATTTGTGTTTTATAATCTTTGATTTCTTTTTTTAACTTAAGAGTCAATTGTTTGTCGTACAGCAACTAATGCAGTATATACGGGGAAAAAAAGTGAAACATTATTGGAAGTGTTTGTGCGTTTGTAATAAATATTGCAAACTAAATTTACACTAAAAGCCGAGTTTGTGCGACGTACTATTATGAGTTATGCAATGTCAAAATGATATTATAAGACTCCAAAACGAACAAACGAAACGTCTGAGCATGTATTCTTATGGAACGTAAATGGCCAAGTTATGCCAACGGCTTGATTGACATGCAGTGAGCTAAATTTATGAGACTATTCGGCCAGCAACAATCTCAGATGCTCTAGCTTGAGTAATGTCAGAATATTTGATTACAATCCTAAGAAAAACAATAGTTTAAATTTGTTTAATATTTTTAGTAGCTTTCCCAGGCAAGTAAAGTAAATTTAGTTTAACAAAAAGCGAAAGATAGCTCAGCTTAAATTATTTATCTAATTTTAAAGACTTTTCTAATTCAATGTACACAGAAAAGTCTCCGCTAATTACACAGCGTAAATTTCTTTTTTTTGAGAATCAAAAAGCGTTGCGTTGCGTTGCGTTGCATTGCATTACTTAGATTAAACTGATGTTTGAGTAAATTTTTCGGTAAAGTTAGTGGCAATATTTTCTAGGTTTACTACGCAAATCTTTCAAACATAACCACCGTCCTTTTTTGCAGGAAAAAAAACGTCAATCTTGGGCATTTTGTGGAGTTGGTCGACCAAAACTTAACACTTGCAATGTGACTCTGAAATATTCGCAATTATTGCAAACGTTTTTACATTTTGACTTTTTAAAATAGTGTCTAATCAAAAAATTAGATTCATTTTTATATAGCGTGTGTTCCGCCTTTTTACCCATCGAACAAATTATTTTCCTGATTTATTATTAGCTTACTCGCTGATCAATAAATTGACATTCTTACCGTCAATGTGATAGACGAACATTTCGTACTGGCCAAACTCTTTAGTGCTAGTCGTATGTTAGTATCGTTTCTCATCCCGGTTGGCGAGCCAGTAGGGCAAAACAATTATAAATGAAATATTGATTTTCCAGCCTAGGACTGCATTAGACAAAGAAATTAACTGTGTTTGTAGATCAAAAGAGTGTTAACGCATACATTATGCAATAATTCTGATTTGACATATTATTAAATTACTGGAGTATTTATTATCTTTTGCTAATGTGTGCGAACCTAAATGTATGAAAGATATGAATAAACTTAGTTCACTATTACAACTATCGAACGCAATTTTGTTTCTTAAGTGTAGGAATTATATAATCATTACGTGCGTATTTGATTGAAACTTAACGGTTTCACTGTTAGATAATGCACAGTTACTATGTAGATTAAACCATACGGCGGCGCTTGCATTGAATTAATGAGTACAATTTTCAGCAGTATAGTTAGAAGGTATGTTTTATTTTGATGTTTGGCAACCTTTGGCATTACAGCTAGACTATAAGTTAAATCATACGATGGTTTATATTGATAGCATCCTTTATCATTATGGCATTACGGTCGGTTAAACTATACTGTGTGTTAGTTTAAGTTTGACATTATGGTCAAAACTAATTTTACGCACAAGTTCAATAATGTTTTATTCAAAGGCGTACTAACAGTCTTTCGCATAAACCCAATGCATAATTTGTCGAAAAAATGTCTGAAGACCTGACTCAACGTTCTTAATCTGCAAATTTTGAATTTATGTCATTATTAACTTGACAAGCTGCCCGTTTGCTAACTTTCTGGATAATACCTTCTGGGATTCATAGTGCGCATTCACTTGTAACAAATAAAAGGTGTTAATATATAAAATTATCATAGTAGAAACAAATAATACAAGCCAATATAAACTCACCGACAAAAATTACGGCTAGTCTGCTCTTGACATTCATAAACCCGTACGTGTTGTCTATTTATGTCTCGGAAATAAAAAAAAAGACAAAATATTAGCATTAAATTATAACAATTACAATACTTTGTAAATTACTCTTTTTATGCTGGATCTGGAAGCGTACGAGTGATCGCAATCCCCGTACATCGCAGATCCTTAAGGCAAATGCGAGTGGAGTGGTCCAAGTCCAGTGATCGCAATCCCAGCCTTGAACTTGAATGATCTCAATCCCCAAGTTACACCACTGATCTGAAATGTACGAGTGATCGCAATCCCCATACATAACAGATTCTTAA